CATCTTAACTTCCTCTTGAACATAACTTCTTTTCTGTATAGAGCTGGCAACCATTATAAGACACAGCATAACAGAACAAAGTAAACTGGATTTATGGCTCAGTCATGTCAATGTAGGTGGCCGAAAAAAATCAGGCAACTTAATTCTGGTGCAAAACACCACAGAATCTCCTGCCTCATGCGTACACCTTCTAAGCCACTGATGCCAGAAAGGCATCATCTGTATTCTGCCAATTCTCTTTTCCCTCTTCCATATATACAGCACATACAGAAGTACGAGAAATTTCTACTTCAGCTATTAGAAGGCAAAAGTGAAAGTCAGAGCCATGGAGCACCAACTCTGACAGCCTTGTTACAAGCACTGACAATGCAGGAGCAGAAGAGTGACTTGTTTTATCTTGTTCAATGACTGAAATGTCTGAAAACTAGACATTTTGGTAGTCTGTGACCACAAGCATGTAATTTCTTATGTTCCTCTGCTAGCACCCTAAACTCATGATGGATCCAGAATTATTTCTTCCCCTACTTTTCTTTTGGCTACTGAAGGTAAGTTTTGATACCACTCAACCACTCTACCTGCATTACACAAACAACTTGATGCAACCTATGCCTTGCATCCAGTCACTGTACATACTCAAATTTTAGGTGTACAGTACAGCCATGTGTACAGAGGAATACAGAAAGTTATGGGTGAATTGAGACAACTGGCATCGCAAAACTCCTGTATGTTAGTAAGTACTGACTTCAGCATTACTTTTCTCTATGCAGTGAGTATAGGGAATCAATCTACCCACACACTACCCTTCAAAGAGGAGTCAAGGCAATAAATACTGCTTAGAGGAATGATTACAGAATGAGTACTGCTATGGTTTAAGAACCTAATGAGGGTTAAGACATCAGTGTAGAAAATGAGTATCTGATGTCCACGAATGCTATGCAATACATGACATGTCCCCACAACTCTTTCATCATTAAGGCGGCTGTGATCACATCTAACCCAAGCAGCCAGACACACATGAGACTCCCTTTTTCACTGCAAGGGTTATTTACAGGAGCCTCTAGTTTTCAAAACAGCGTTTCATCGTCATTTCTTAAGGAAGGGGTCATGGACTCTACTTACTGTGTCATGCACTAAGGTGAAGAACACGTACACTTCATAACCCCCAAACCTACATAGTCACAAAACTGTCAGAAACAGAATATACCCTATTGATGATATTTTAAGGAAATAGTTGTATTTAGTGACACCCAAAAAAACCCCAAACCACCAATCCACAAAACCCACCACATCATTAGATTCTTTAAGGACAGCCTCTATAGTTCTTATTTTCTCCCTTATCTCCTGTTTTCTTCTTTCTCCTTCCAGGATCAATGCTGTATTTCTCTTCCGAATCTTCTTTTCCCTACTTGTTCTTCTCTTGGTTCTCCCTGCCATTCCCATTCTTGTTCCCAATTGAAATTTCTGTATTTCTTTCCCTCATCTCTCTGCCTCCTCTCTGTTCCATTCTCCCTGCTTTTGGTTGTCTACAAGGCAGAAGAAGTGCTCATCACATGCAAAAGCTAGTAAGGGAAATGGGAAAAAGTGAAGTTAATTTATGAAAGAAATCACATTTAACATCACATTGATATATACGTTAACTAGGAATCATATCTTATTTCTAAAACCACAGGAAATATTTGTTTCACCATTAGCTTCATTTGCCAGCCACTCCAGGAAGTAACTTCTAAGATGCCAAATCTGTCATTTTATAATCCTTCTCTATCCCATAAAAAATGATCAAGGTATAGTTTCAAAATAAATTTGTTCTTTATTCTAAGATAATGAGTTACTAAATATTCAGGGTTAGAAATTAATGTTATTTTTATTACCTACCACATATAATATAGACCCTTCTGTGGATGCAGTGCAGTAAGTTCTCTACTTGGGTGTGTAGAATACGTATGAACGTAGTTGTAAGGCACAAGTATTGTTAAAGCCAGAAGCAATAAGGCACCAGTTTAAGACCAGTTCAATGGGCCCTTTCTTAGAAAACAGTAAAATGGAAGAAAGACCTGCCCCCTCTTCCTGCCCCACTATGATGCATTTATTTCCACACCTAAAACATCATGAAATTGGATTTAATATATTTGCTGTAATGTTCATAGGGAACAAGCTTTTACAGAATGTCTGAATTTTGCAAAAAATTCTCTTCTGTTTTTCCCCCTATGCCTGTGCCTACATAAAATTACAGTTACACAAATAACACATTGATGACATGAATTTTTGGGCTACATTTCCCATTCAAACCTATAATAAAAGTGTATGGCAACTTTTTAAAAGAGAACACTATAGCTTATGAAGTGGAAGAAGAAAAGTATGGAACACATAGGCTTGCAATACACATGAGTTATTTTTCTAAACTGTGCAAAAATTTGTTTTCCTTGCAACTGTGCACGTAACTTCCTAGAGTTAACATGCAAATAAAATGAATACAAAATAAAAGAAGAGCTGAATATTTAATCACAATAATATGTACCTTATGTATCATACAAAATGGTACATTGATATAAATAAATACATATGTTAATGGTAACATTTTATGTGACTAGTTAAAAGATTGTAAGCTAAAATCTGTTCAGTGGGTTTCTCCTCTTTGTATGCTCTTAATCTGGGTCTACATCACGTAATAAAGAAGGGCTCCTGAGCACTTTTTCAACTTTGATATCTACTCTTTGCCACATAAAAACTATTTTTACTTTCAATTAGAGTAGCTACTTGAAAATGCATTTTGGTTTGGTTTTTTTTTCTGAATGAAACTTAAGAAACTTGGTTCAAAAAAAAAAAGTTGATAAAACTGATGTAAAGCCAACATCTAAGTACAACATAACATCGAGGAATTAAAAAACATAATCACTGTTATTGGAGTAAATTTACGGGCCAAGTACTCCTCATTATTCTCAATATACTAATATATAGTGATAGCATACAATGTACAGCGTATTCTATCCATAGGCTAGCTGCCTGATAGGCTTGGTCTACAATTAAAAGTACTGATGGTGAAGTTATATACAAAAGCATACTTGCTTTTTGCTCAAATTAAATATGGCTACACTAGCAAAAAAAATCTTTTTGCAGTGTATTTGCTCAAGGAACTAGCATACCCTGCATTAGCAAACCCCCCTTTCTGCTGGCATGAAACACATGCCAGAAGGATGTATGGTGTGACTACACAAGAATCCAAGCAAGGCATTCTAAGGCCCTTATATTTTTTTCTTGGACAAGACACTGCATTATAAGTATTAAAAGTTGGCAAGTGATCTACTTTAGGAGGAAAGAGAAAGCCATAAATTTGGTGACATTAAGTTTTAATACAGCTCATACTGTATTTATAGTTTTCACTCATGTCTTTTTCAGAAGAACAAAGGCAACTTCGAGAAAAAAAAGGAAGAATCAATTAACAAAGACATACCCTTTTTCATGAGCAAAAGCAGTGAGGGTGTGGTGTTTAATCCACTTTTAAGAACCAGTGGCTGCACACAACATTGAGGTTCAAATATGATAAAGTGGACTTTTACAACTATGCCTAGTCAGTAAGCGTGAATCGTGTTTCAGCTTGCATAATTCCTGCCAAAATCCCACATTTTTTTACCTGTGTGGTAGATTACTGTAAAGCCCTGCCACATGCAGACTCATTTTTGCATCAGCAGAAAACGTAGCCCACAATATGGCAGACTGTCTCATTTATTAACATAGAACTGAACCCTTGTGTGCTGTGGATAGTACTGACGGTGGTCCTGGGTGAATCACCTTTAATGCAGCAAGCAGATGGAATCCAAATTATCTGAAAGACCATCTCTCTCCTCCTTCTGTTATACTAGTCTGTGGAGGCACGCAAGCCATAACCTGCTAATGAAGAACTGGCATTACTCGGTAGGCATTCTTTCCTGACATGTTTTCCATTATTAGGTGCTGGGGAAAGTACCCCGTGAATTTCAGCAGTTTGTGCTGGCTTGTATTTGTTTTAAGCATCAACACAAGAACCTAGATCAGTGTACTGCTAATAGGGACACTAAAAAAGAACCAATGAAACAATAAATACACAAAACTCTGGGAAAACAACAGCTGTACAGCTTAGAGCTCTTTCCAACCTGTTTACCTGTTGTACACGATTGAAAGATCTGTGGCATTGCTGTATGATAGACACCATTCTCATCCAAGCTTTAAGAACCTTCTGTATGAGAATATAAAATCTAGTGCCTTAACACACTAAAATGCTTCTAAATCCTGGGGGTTGGAAGCAACAGGCACTTTAGATATACATGCAGTAACAGTGCATAAAGTAAGCATGTGTGAGAACTGTCTGGATCATAGTAAGTGTTTCTCATTAGCCACTTCAGAGATATCCTTTCCAACAGCAGTTAAGTGGCAGAAAGAAAAAGTTTCCTCCTCAGTGTGTGCTGGAGCAGAACTGAATATTGTTGGCTTGGGTCAGCAGTCTTATTCCACTCATAGACTTTTCTGTTCAGTTCCGTATGGATATCCAATATAGAGAGCTTCCTGCAGCAACAGAAGTAAAAGCTTTCTATTAGACAATGAAGCAAAACATCATTTAAGAATCCACAAGAGAGAACGCAACTTTAGACTCAGCAAGGAGAAAGTTTTAAATGTCAGTCTTTATTGCAGAGGTTACACCTCTAAAACCCAAGGCTGAATATGCTCTTTGGAGACAATGTTACAACCAAAATCACTGTTGTGATATTGATTATGCTAATATGATGATCTGTGATTTCACTACAAAGTTTTAGGGTTTGTAAAAAGGTACTAAATGTTACCCTCATAAATACCTTGAAAAACCTTCCTGTGCCATCGTTCCAGGATCAGGTATACCTGTCTTTTAACCTATGACACAGCATGATGGAATGACACTTTTCAGGATCAGACAGGATGAAATTTACGGTTTCTCTTTCTGTAGGGCAGCAGGCTGCTGTAGGAAAAGGGCTGCTTTTTTCCTCTTTTTTTATTTACCTTTTATGAGGACTGCAGAGTAGCTCAGCCAGGCAATGCAGATAATATGAGGATGAATTTCGAGATTTTTCTAGTGTAGACATATTCACCTTGCAGTGACTCCAAAAGATGTCTGCTAGTTGGGGAATAGTGGCTTGCCATGGGGTTTCTGCATTAGCTAAGATGTTCTCATTATTCCCATCTACTTCCAACAAACTAGTACATTCTTGCTCATTGTCTGGCACAATGTAGCTCTGAATAAAAAAAAGCTTCGGTTTTCCTAGGAGTTCAGGACATGAGTCTGCTCTGAAGTATTTCTTTACTTGTTCCAAAGGGAATCCAGAAAAGGTATGGTCTGTACAGAATATGCTCTTGGAATTTCCACGGCTGACTAATATGCAGATGAAGCTGTCATAGTTTCTGTGCTTTTGCAACCTTGCAACTTGAAACAATGTGCGACTCATGCTGTTCGTATTTAAGTATTTGTGACAATGAACATCATAGCCTAAGCCTCTGAAGGTCTCTTCCAACATACCTGAAAAAAGCAAGATATAATTAAATCGCAGCACATCAAGACTCAATCTCAAGTATCTTGAATTACAGTATTTATAGTATTTCACTATCGGAAATAATTTATTTTGCCACAATAATTAACAAATCAAGAGTACCTGATGTTGATCACATTACATACTTATAATGCTATGCATGTTGTCTTTAATATGTCTTATGTACTTCCTGACAGCAAAGACACTCTTATTTGGCACGTGATCTGTTCCAAATTCCGCAGGCACTTGCACGCTTTAACTTAGGCACTTAAAATATCAGACAAGAGAAAACATTACAAAATGCTTCTCACGGAACATTCTAGAAATGGTAAGGAGTGATCTGGGTAGCATGGGAAGTCTGTTTCACCTTTTAACATATCAAAATTACTCTGAGTGCTTATTATAGATCTACAGAACTGCACAGGCTCCCTTTCATCAGTCAAAAATGAACCTGCTGCAGTCAGTTACACTTCCTATTATATAAAATGGACTTTAAGTGATGAGTTCCAGGTGGAGAATGGACAATGGAGTCTGACCTGTGACAGAAGGGCATTTTCAGGGACAAAAAAACCCCACAACTGAACAAAGAACCCTTTCAAATGTATTAGAAATTAAAACTGTGGACAGCCAAAAATCAAGATTTAACTCTATTTGTGCTGCAGGAAAATGTGCTATGCTCTGAATAACTACTTTGGATGTTTATTAATATGGGAGTGAAGCCAGATATGTTATGGTTAAAATCACTGGCATTTTTTAAGCGTTCAGGGAACCACAGGACACTACTAGGATATCTGTAGCATCGTTACCTTCAGAATAAACCATGCACAGTTTCTGATATGACAGGAAACATCAAGTGCCATGTTTATGTAAAATGCCTTACAGCCACACGAAGCTGTGCTGTTATTGGACTTCAGAAGTTTAACAATCCCTCATTAGCAGACGCTATTTCAGAGGTAACTGGCAGCAAAGCAGAAGTTGTACTATCACATATGCCCACATTGAAAACAAGGAACAGAACTTGTAACTTTCCTCAGCAAAATACAAATACAAACTATACTGTAGCAAGGTGATAAACTGGAACTGGAGAGTTTCATTACAGTTCTGTTGGTTTGATTAAATTTTGTTACATAATTAAAAAAAAACTGGATTTTTTTTTATAATTTATTTGGAAATAGTAAGGAATATCCCCTTTATTTCAGGCAATAAAAAATGCTCTCAAAATTCAGGTGGCAGATTGAGTACTAACACTGTTGACCAGTTATGTACTGGATGAAGCACTTCATCCTTTAGAGGGCTGTAGTACATAGGCAAAAAGTTACAGCAACGAGCGCGCTTTTCCTGATACACTCTAAGTCTCATAATAAAAAAAAGATTAAACCAAATAAGCTTTGAGCCAATACCTTAATTTAACAATGAATTAGAAATTATACAAGATAAGCTTTGGATACAGCAATTTTACTTTAAGGCAAGATAAAACACAGCATTACATGCTGCAGCTTGAGATCAGAAAGCATGTGTTTCTTCAACAGTAACCATCTCACATCAAACCTCCACTGACATTGGAGCATTTCCACTCTACATAAAAATATATACTTTCCTCCCCTTGATTGTTTACAAGGTAAGGATAAGAACTGGCTTCCAAGTCCTTTCCAGTCAGCAGACTTCCTCTGTCGCACTTACACTTTCTGTTCTTGTACAAGTACTGACATGACTGTATGAGCTCATGAAGATGACATGCAGTGGGTTTTAATTTTTATTTTATGCAATCTTTGTATTTAGTAGCAATTACCATGACAAAGGGGTCTGCACAGTATACTGCCTGTGCAAAAGATCTGTGCCTTCTAAGGAAGAATAGGTCTAAATTTACGTATCCATGACTACAAACTGACATAGTGGTTCCCGTTTTCTCCAATGTATATGCCTTACCTGCTTTTACACTTTGTTCCATTTAAAAAAGGAAAAAATCAGACCTGGCATAGTAAAACATTTTTGTTCACTGAATCAGGTCAGCACAAGCTCATATGCCATTAGAGACAATTTACAGAGGGATTTTTTGTAAACAAGGTTATTTCCACGGCTTGTGTTTTCTTTAACTCCCTACCCTTTTTTTCCCCTACCAATCTTTTTTGCATTTGCTTTTAAGAAACAGAATTCCAAGTAATTATTTTGGTACTGCAGCAGACTATCACACTACCTTTCAGATTAAGGCTGTATAATGTTTTTCTTGCATCAAAAGGGCTATTTGTTCTCTAAAGCTACCACAGAAGAGAGAAAAACAGGAAAGTAAAGAAACAGGCAGCAGGACAGAGCAGAATGTTTGATCTCAAGAGCTGCTCTCTTGGGCCTGTCAGTCTTTGGCAGGATTTGTTTTAGTTGCCTATTGGGCAAAGTCAGCTTTTTTAAATTTTTTTTTTAACTTTAGAACAGAAGAGAAGAAATGATTCAGATTTTTTGCTTTCAGCAATTGCATCCTTGGTTTGGGGTTTGGTTTTTTTTTTTGTCCAGAGGTGACTGATGACCTAGGTAGGACAGACCGAAATCAGATGCCACGGGTGCTTCCCAGGTGTGTGTAACTGACTTAAGTGTCTTCCTTGTCCCTCTTTTCCATTAATTGCAAGATTGTGAATTACTTCCTGTTACCCTAATGACAAACTGTCTTAGTTTATATAATTAACCTAAAATATGATCATCAAGCAAACATAAAAATTTTACTTTGTGTGTCTATGTTGTGTATCCACAGCTTTTCAAAGACTACATCAATAATTTTAAGGTGGTCCATCTGCTGTACCATTAGTTAAAAGAAAAAGATACACTGACAACCCCCCTTCTTCCCCAACATCTCCTAAGCTTATTACAGAACTGACTGCAAGTACTCTCTTAATTTTTATTTTAGCCTCATATTTTACAATGATTAGAGAGTGGGTCTTTTTTGATTATGCAAGCTTTCTGGATTATGTAAAGGTAATCAGGAAAAACCCACATTTTAACCATAGCACTGGCTATCTTCAATTTTACATGCAAATTGTTGGGCTTTTCTGGGGGGTATTTTTTGTTTTGTTTTGTGTTGGTTGGTTGGTTTGGGGTTTTTAACTAAACCAAGAGGGAAGGAAGAAAATTCCTTTCCCGGTAGAGCTATAGTAACAGTTTCAGTTAAACTGTGCAAGATGTGACAGAAGCATAGGTGCATTATTAATAATGAATCACATGCCTTCAGCTATTCAAAATCTGTAGCATCCAATATGATTACACTTCAAATCCACAGTTTTGGGTTTGGTTTTGTTAACTGATGGAAAACTCTGCCTTTACCATCTCTGCCAATAACCTGATGTATGACTGTAGCTTAGCTATTCTGTTGGTCTCTGAACATCCTTTTTCTCCCTCTCAAAATTCAGTCTATCCCCCTTACAAGTTCTTTCATCCAGAGATTCTGTGCCAAAAACCAAACAAACATTGTCTGCAACAGTTAGGATAGTTTGCTTTAACTTCAGGTTGGGCCTTCCAACTCTGCTTTAGATGACTTACTAGAATTGATAGACTAGCTGACTAGGACAACATTACCCTAGCCTGGCAAATGTACATCATATTCTTTATACTAAATTGTTCTAATTATCTGAGATTAAGAAGATAAGGAACTTCAGATTCCACAGACTTACCTGCATCATTGCCAACACAGTCTATTATCAGGCATATCCCTAGAGGCTGACTTTGCATTCTGTACTTATCATCAAACACCTGAGGAATGTGAAGGGCAAGTGCTAAGTTAGTACGTCACTCTCTCAACTTACAGACTTGATTCTTTACTCAGATTTCACAACCTCTATTCACTTACATTATTGTTTTTCCACAGAGTAGCTAGAAGTCTATCTACTGGGGTGCAGTATGTCTTCTCTACATTAAAAAAATCAGGAGAAATAGGCTGATGATTCCAACTGCACCCATTTATGGTACGGGCTTAATTTTTGCACCCTTGTGTTACGCACTCTTCCTACCATAATGATTCTTAAACAAAGACTAAAAAAAGCACCTATATGGGGTGGAGGGATTTTTTAAAGACCTGGACTATGACAGCAATGACCCTTCTATAGTACTTCCAAATTAATTTAACTGTAACTGCTATTTAGATGTTGTGAATTATAAGCTTTGTATTGCCAATACAATAAATGTAGAGAACTTTCGTGCTCTTAAGGTGAGCAAGCAAGCACTGCTTATCAGAGAAACATTTATTCCCTTATTTAGTGCAACAACCTCCTTGTTTCTAAATAATCTGTAATGACAATATCACAACACCTTTTCCCTTTAAAAAATTACAATACTATTGCTATAGGTAATTCCTTGGTTTCTGGCCTACAGGGGAGGTTGTGAAAATAGCAGTCATCCATTCTTATCATGAATACCCAAAGTATGTCTGTCTTCCACCTGGAGAGCAAGGGGCAGGGAAAGAATAAAGAACAGAATTTACTGCATGCAAAGAAGCCCTGCAATTTCTAATGCAGATGGCAAGAGGTCTGACTTCCAACAGGTTTTGACTTAGCCTCCACTAATAAATATACAAGTTCTGTGTGCACATCATAGGTACATGCATTTTGCACACTCCTGCTTCTGAAGTAAAAGCAAATATTTTATACTAAAACTATATCCTGCAAAAGCAAGTCACAGAACCTGCTTAAGGCTGAGGAAGATAATGGATGTACACACTGTTCTGTTTGCATGCAATTAAAGGAAATCTCAAAATTAAACAGAAAGAAAACTAAGGTAAATACCTGCAGAGGATTTTATTATATTTACATGCAAACATATGCACAAGCACATACCTTATATGATGCTGGTCCTGATTCCTGAATGGACATGTGGACTGGTTCTGCTGCAGTTGAAACATACATAAATAATCTCAGTATGTACGAATCAGTGACATTTCTTTGACACCAGATCAGCTGAAGAGAAACCTATTTATTTCAGCCAGGATCTCACTCATCTGGACTTCCCAGTTTCTATGTATGCTACTGAAGTTTAGAAAACCCCAAAATTTTCACCTCTAAAATGTTATTTGGATTGCATTCTACATTGCTTATAACTAGAATAAATAAACTCTCTCTCCTACACTGAGATAATTCAGCCAACTGCTCTTCTAAAAATCACTGTATTTGAGAGGAACTTTGTGTTTCCAGAAAGAACACAACACACATGATAAGAATCTGGTACTCACTGGACAACTTCCTGGCTGGCCTGGTGGAGAGTTCACCACTGAACGAACAGAAACTTCCTACTTGAGACTTCAGTTGCACAGCTGCACTACATGACCTTCCAGAGTTGGCTAATCAATCTCTTCCATGATTTTATTAATAAACTATTTAATCTGCTTAAAAGCTATGAAAGTGGAAGCCCACAACAATTTACATAAAGTTTTAAGATCTGGCACCACAAGCAAAGCTGTCCTGGGTTCAGCTGTAGCAGTCATTTTTCCCCATGTTAGGAGCTGGTGCAGTGCTGTGTTTTCAACTTCAGCCTCAGAACAACAGTGGTAACACACCAATGTTTTTAGTTGTTGCTAAGTGATGCTTACTCCGATCAAGGACTTTCTCAGTATCATGCTCTGCCACTGAGGAGGGGCACAGGAAGCTGGGAGGAAGCAGAGACAGGACACCTGACCCAAACCAGCCAAAGGGGAATTCCATACCACAGCACATCATGCCCAGTATATAAACTGGGGGGAGTCACCCGGAAGGCCAGATCGCTGCTGGAGTCGGGCTGGGTATCGGTCAGTGGGTGGTGAGCAATTTTATTTTCTCCCCTTGTTATTTCCTTTATCATTATTATTATTGGTGGCAGCAGTAGTTGTTTTGTATTATACCTTAGTTACTGGGCTGCTCTTATCGCAACCAGCTGGAGTTACATTCTTCCGATTCTCTTCCCCATCCCTCTGGGAGCGGGGAGAGGAAGAAGAGGGGGAGTGAGTGAGTGGCTGCGTCATTCCACGTTACTGGCTGGGCTTAAACCATGACAAAAGCAAATACAAGAGCGAATATAAGGCAAGACTCAAGTTTTCAGAGGTCCCAAATACTCTCTGCTCCTGGTGTTATCAACTGTATTAGACAAAACCCCAACTATCAAACAACAGTCCTATTGATACAATTAAATTAATCTTTTGATTGTTTTAGATTATCAAAACTCAGATAAAATGGTCTTACCTAGAATAAAAGTTTGTCCATTTTGTGATTTTTCTTTGTTCACATTCTGGATCTAAAATGAAGAAAAAGGTATCTTTTTCCTCTCTTCGTCAAGAATGTTCCAAAATATAACACAATAGTATTTTTCTTCCTCAATAAAAACATTATATATTTTAGATTCACACATATCAGCTAATTATAATTACAAAATAACAAGTAAAAAACCCCCAAACTGTTGCTCCTCAGGAAAAAAAGTAAGAGCTTGCCATGAACAGTGAGGAAAAGCTTGTTCCGTAAGGTAGAAAAACAAACCAACCAACCCTCTGAAGATACGAGTTTTGTTTCCTATAGAGCAGCATGGAGGAACTTTCACTGAATCAGAAAGGAAATAATAACAATATTATAATAATATGGAAAATCAATCTAAACTCTTTCCTATTAAGTACTTTGGAAAACAAAGGTGGTGTGGCCGTGTTAGTAAAGACAGATTGCATTACTGGTTTCTTGTATGTGAGCTTTATGCATACATATTTACTGAACACATGACAGAAATAATCTCATCAAATTCATTTAGCAAGGGTAAATACTTTAAGTAAGGTCACACTGTCACAATATCAGACCTAACCCAAATATAAAGGATAATACATGCAACAGGATTTGATGACTTTTCACATACCGAGATTAAATTTGTTAAAATGAGATTAAAACCACACAAATAATAATTTAAAAAAAGTTATCCTTCAGCTTCCAAAGTTAAAATACTTTTCCTGCAAAATCCAGAAGTACAAAGAATAACATGTTTTTCAATGAATAGTCAAAGCAAAACTTTTCACTCCCCAGAGTAGTAGAAAAACTTTCTCAAGACACAAAGTTTTTATCTCCAACTAATACAAAAAAATTCACAGAAGCTCTTTAAAGGGGACCTATTTCAGTCAGAAGATTTAAATTAGACCCTAAAGTCAGCAAGTAATAGGAATAAGAGAAATAAAGGACGTAGTATTTTTGTTCCGAGCAATCTCTCATTCCTTAGCCTCTGCAAAGATGAATCCCCTTTCAATATATGGCAATATTTAGAGAAGGTCTATGTATACTTACCCCTGAATTATAAGGAAGATCAATCAGACTGAGATTAGGGAGAGATGCCTGAAGTGCATTGACATATGCTGACTGAGAATGAACACAGCATATTACAGCTGAAAACAAACACACAAATACACCATGATATACCAACTCTTTTATGAACCTAAATCCATAAAGCATGCAAATACTCTGACTTGTAACTCATAATTTTATTTTCAGTAAGAACACATCTGATCCTTGCTATCAAGAGTAACCAGTGGAAAAATAGGATCTTACCTTCATGTTTGTACTTCTGAATCTTCTTAATCAGGTCTATCCTGTGAATGCTTTGAAAACAACTTTCCATCAGATCCAGTTGATTAGGAGCTACCAAATCTAGTTTCTCCAGGTCAGTCACAAGCGCTAGAAAACTCTAGAAAAGCAAGAGAAACCCAAACTGTTGTATCAGTAATTTGTTCTCTATCAGTAAGTAACAAAACAAGCCAGACAGTAACATGGGGAGCTCATAAAGGTTGTATATTCAAGAACTAGTAACACTACCTTCTGAAACACTAAGAAAATTATCCAGAAGGCATAAGAATTCTTGGAAGCTAGAAAGTGATACTATTAAAAAAAAAAAATAAAAGGAAAAAAGAAGTTTTTGAGGAAACAGTTTTGCATTTCCCTGACATAAGGATGACTTGTAATGTGACCTCACATGCCACAAAGCAAGGGGTAAGAAAAGCTTGCTTTGATGAATTTGCAGGACCTCTTCTCCTTCTTTGAATAAAGAAAGAAAAAGGAAAAAAAAAAACCCACAAAGGAAGAAGACAGAAATACTCAGTCTTCTAGACACTGTTGTTAAGTTTTCTGAACCCTCATTTCTGCTTTCTCAAAACACTTAAAAGAAATATTCAGAACACAAATGTACAGAGAAAGATGTAATTAAAATAAAACTGTTCTTTTGTAAGTGAATCACAGGATGAACCTAAAAAGTGACTCTGTAATTCAAGATATATTTCATATGACTATTGGTTTGAGATCCTTCATATATAAACTTACTGATCAGTAACACTAAATAAACACTTTTTTTAATGTCTTCTGCATGTGAGGTTCATGCTAACAATACTCACTATATTGTCTTTACTGTTTCCTCTTACCGTTTCTCATGTGTCTTTTCTGGAACTGGAAACTAAAAATTGAAATAGAAGCCACTACTCCTCCACTTCCTGACTTCTGTCTGCTCCTCACAGTCTCACTACTGCTCTGCCGTCTAGCTACTTCTCTTTTACTTGAACCTCTCCTCTGCTGGTCTTCTCTTGCCCCAGAGAAGACCAGCAGAAAAACGTACCTTATCTTTTGCCATTTTCATACGAGGTACATAATCTCTGAGTAGAAAAACAAGAGTACCCACTTCTTCTTTTTCCAGATTCTCGTTAATCTCTACCATTAGTACCCTGAAATAAAGTTGACACATTTCTGAAGGATTAGCTTTCAGCAAGATCCCACCCTTGCCCAACTACCCAACATCTCCCATGTTCCAGTCTCAATGTACCATTTCCAATTAAACAGGAAAAAGCCTACCCTGCTCCAAGATCCAATTTTAAAATCCCTACCTCTTGCTAATTGCACCTGCATTACTCAGACTGACTGTGTAAAAGCTGCTGCCAGGAAAACACAAGTCTCCTTAATATTTCAATAGGGATGAAGTGAAAGAATGAGGCAACAGAACACATTTTTAACTTTTTTAGCTAGTAGCTACAGGGGGTTTATTTCAGTGAGAAGTTAATACAGGAAAATCTTCCTTATGAGTACATATATTTCTTCCTGAGGCCTCTCAAAGAAAGTAACTGGAGCTTCTTAATTTAAGCCTCTTAAAACTACAGAGTAAAATGTAGTAAGAGAAACATCCCCTGAGAAAAGCTATACTACAAGGGCATGTGCCCAAAGCAAACTAGAAAAGAAAGTATCTCTAACAATGTTCCTCTAAAGCATCATTTCTATCTGCTCATCTAGAACTGTACAAATATCACTGGTGTTATTAACACACGCAAACTTCTTAAAGATAGATACTTCCAATGCAATGACTTGAAAGAAGCTACCAAGCCTTATTTTAGGGACTTGACGTATTCTTTTCACTAGAACTCTAGATATAATGCCCTTTTCTGCTTTTCTCTCAAGACCTATTTAAAAAAGAAACAAGAAAACACTTACACCCCCCAAACTTCGAAACAACCCACACACATTTTGAACAAAATAGAGTGGCCTTGGTATCTGAAATAAGACATATTACCTGTAATCAGGGACAAGTCTGAGACTCCTGGCAAGGTTAGCTTCCACTGTTGCCTTCTCAGTCTTCAAGATCCTTCTCAGCAAGTCAAACCTCTTAACTCTATACAACAACTCAGACAAGCCAAGAAAAGTCAATTTCCCCCTCTCAATCAAAGCCACCAAGAGCTTTCTAAGGTCAGCATTTGCTAAGTCAGGAGCAAGGTCTCGGCACAAAAAAGCCATCATCTCTTCTTCTTCTTCATCCAATTCTTGTTCAATCTCGTGAATAAGGACAGCTGTCACTTGGCACTTGGTCATCACTTTGTTGCTGTCCCTTCAAAATTGCCAGCCTGCTGTTTTTTTAAACAGAAAGCCAACATGACATGAAGCACACTCTACAACAGCACTTCTCTGGTTTTGATTCTTAACTTGATTCATT